TAACTCAAATCCTGGAGGTTGTTCCACATAAACTTCTTCCTCGAGGTTTCCGTTGAGGAATGCGCTTTTGACGTCCATTTGATAGACCTTGAAGTCCTTGTGAGCAGCATAGGCTAGAAACAGCCTTATAGCTTCAAGTCTAGCAACTGGAGCGAAGGTTTCATCAAAATCTATACCTTCTTCTTGACAGTAACCTTTTGCAACTAACCGGGCTTTGTTTCTGACAACAACGCCATTTTCATCCATCTTGTTCCGGAAGACCCACTTTGTCCCAATGACATGTTGATGAGTAGGTCTGGGAACAAGTTTCCAGACGTCATTTCTGGAAAATTGGTTGAGTTTTTCTTGCATTGCATTGATCCAACCAGAATCAGCTAGAGCTTCTTCAATATTCTTTGGTTCCACTTGTGAGATGAAACAAGCAAGCATAGCTTCTAGATTCTGTTGGGCACTCCTTGTGCGAACACCAGATTGAATATCTCCAATGATCTGTTGAGGAGGATGATCCCTTAACCAACGAAGATTGTGTTGATTAGGATTGACTGGTTGATCTAGTTCAGCTTCTGGTTGAAGAACAGAGGTTGTTGGTATTTCCGGATGGATTGGCACTGGGTCGCCATTTCCGGAATTGTCGCCGTTTGAGAGATCCGGAATATTGGAAGGCTGACCAACATTTCCGGAAGGCTCAGCACTGTCTGAATCCGGATTTCTCCGTGAAGTCTTTAGTGGCAGACTTCTGAATGGAATGAACTCCGTAGGCTTCATTCTATCTCCTTCATTGACTTCTTCATCCTTTTCTGATAGATCCAGAACCTCATGATCATGCTTTGATGGTTTATCAACCACATGTTTTTCATCAAAAATAACATGTATTGACTCTTCAGTGATCATGGTTCTTTTGTTGAAAACTCTGAATGCCTTGCTCACCATGGAATATCCTAGGAAGATGGCTTCATCTGATTTCTCATCAAAGGTGTTCAGATGATTCTTCCCGTTGTTCAACACAAAGCACTTGCTCCCAAAAATATGGAAATATGATATATTAGGCTTTCTCCCATTCCACAGTTCATAGGGAGTTTTGTTGTGCCTTTTATAAATCATACTCCTATTTTGAGTATAGCAGGCTGTGTTAACAGCTTCAGCCCAGAACCTCTTTGGTAAGGGAGCTTCTGCTAGCATGGTTCTTACTGCTTCCTTCAGGGTTCTATTCCTTCTTTCAGCTACACCATTCTGTTGAGGTGTCCTTGCTGCAGATGTCTGATGAAGAATTCTGTTTTCTTCACAGTAATGAATGATGATTTCATTCAGGAATTCTGTGCCTTTTTCAGATCTGATCTTCTGAATGGTCTGACTCGCTTGGTTTTGAATCAGCTTCATGCAGTTGGTGAGTTTCCCTTGAGTCTCCTTTTTGCCGTTGAGAAAGATTGTCCACGTGTATCTTGAGTAATCATCAACTACCACCAGGACATATTTCTTTCCACTTAGACTTATTGTTGTAACAGGGCCAAATAAGTCCATGTGAATAAGACTTAATATCCTTGTAGTTGAGGGTGCCGATTTTGCCTTGAAGGTGGACTTGACTTGCTTTCCTTTTTGGCAAGCATCACAAATGCTTTCCTTGTAACGCCCCAAAACATACCCTAGAATTATTAATAAATAAATATTCAATTAATCAAATTTGTTTTGATTAAAATAAATTATTGTTGGGCTTTAGGCCAAAATAAAATATATGTTGATATCCAATAAACATATTTGGGATAAAACTCATAGAGATAAACCCAATTTGTTGACTAATGTGTGATCTTGGTTGGGAACCTGAGTACAGACCCAATTTAAAAATAAATGAAAAAATTGTTTATAATGTGAACTTTGAAATGATTTATTGAAATAAATCATGGAAATAAATAATATGAATTGAATATGAGCACCTTTTTGAGTAAAGGTCAAACAAATCAATTTTGACTCTGTCAAAGTCAACCACCCAAAAATGTGATGTCGGAAAAAGTATAACGAATAAATATAAAAATTATATCGTTGGATAGAGTTTAACTGTCCGATCGCAACGGTGCAAACGGATTTCAATTTGGAGAAAGTTGGACCAAAAAGTGTACCCCGACTGGGACCAAAATTAGTCCCAATCAGGGAGTAACGTGCTGAATCTCTTTATCGCCGAATGAATCGTGAAATGGGAATCCTACGCAGCAGCAACTCAGCTTCCCATGTCTTCTTCCTCTTCCTCTTGCTATATAAGAAACTCAATTCTTCTCATTTCTTCACCATTCATCTTCAAAATTCTTCCTAAGTGTTCCTAAGAGTGTAAGGAGTGTAGTGGTGCTGTCAATTTGGTGTGAAGTCGCC